TGTTTGTGTGTGTGTGTAGGGGGGTCCCAGCGTTCCGCCCGCCAGACGATATGCATTCGACTTTCTGGATGTTGGTATCAGGCATCGCGTAGGAAGATCTGTGCGTTTCTATGATTTAAGGAGGTTCCCCCAGTCCAGTTCACAAGGACTAGCGCCTTAATGAAGATTCTAAAAGCTCTCCAGACCTCCCCAGGTCATGTTCATGAGGACTAGAGCCTCAATGAAGACTCCGAACCTTCTCCAAACCTCCCCTGGGTCCAGTCCCCGAGGACTAGCGCCTTAATCAAGACTCCATACCTCTCCAGGTCTGCTTCATGAGGACTAGCACCAGTTCATGAGGACTCTGAACCCCTTCCAAACCTCCCTGGGTTACACTCATGAGGACTAGCGCCTTAATGAAAACTCTAAACGCTCTCCAAACCTCCCTGGGACCAGTTCATGAGGACTAGAGCCTTAATGAAGACTCCATACCTCTCCAGGTCTGCTTCATGAGGACTAGCACCTTAATGAAGACTGTGAACCCTTTCCAAACTTCCCTGGGTCCAGTTCATGAGGACTAGCGCCTTAATGAAGACTCTGAACCCCTTCCAAACCTCCCTGGGTTACATTCATGAGGACTAGCACCTTAATGAAGACTCCAAATGCTCTCCAAGCCTTGGTGTGTGTGTGTGTCTGTCTGTCTGTTTGTGTGTTTTAATCGCTCAGATAAAAAGCCTCTGACAGCATCTCACCGGCCGCCTTGCAACTCAGTTTTCTGAAATCCCCCTCCCCTTCTTTTCCCCCTCTCCTCCCCTCCCTCTCTCCCCCCTTTCTTTCTTCTCCTTCTCTCTTTCTGGAAAAGGCAGCTGGAGCAGCTGCTAAAATTAGCCCTCGCCGTGTGGCATCGAACGGAGGGCCTGGAATATAATGTGCCAGTTGATGAGGAGTAATATATTAAATTTATATCGAGGTGGCCCCGGGTAAGGAGAGGATGGTGGGGAAGAAGCCGGCTTCGGGTTTTTAATTGGCATAATATTTCATTTAATTACACCCGTCTATTTTGGGAGGGCGACCACCACGTGGCTGGCAGGCTCGGTGCTTCACACGAAGGGTGGGTGAGTGGGGGGGAAAAACTCCCCTGCCCATCAGCTCTCCGGCAAAGGGAGACCAACTTTGGGGGGGGGGGGGTTGAACTCCTTCGGCCAAAGGCGCCAGGGTGGCACCTGGCATGGCTGAAACACAACACTGTGTTTCGAAATGAAAATTGGCAGCTTTTCTCTCCCGGCAATTGTGCAGTGCCAGGGATTATCAGCCCCCCCCCTGTCACCCCCTCCCCAATTGTGATCTCTGCAGCTCAAGGAGCAGAAGTGCCAAAGCAGAAGCAAGGATTTTTTTGGCATGTCCAAAAGGCCTGGCATTCAACACCCAACTGATCCAGATATTTTTGGCTGCGAGAGAGGCGGGCAGGTAAAGGAGGACCTTGGATAACCTCTGGCCAGGCCGGATCCAAGCCTCGGCTGACCATTGGAGTCCAGCTCTTATGCATTTTAAAGAGATGCCCGTTCCCCTCGATGGCCTACCTTCCAAGGTTGTTTTTTGCTGAGACCGAAGAATAATAAAGAGGAAAGGAAGGGGTAAAATAAACACGACACACGGGAACCCACTTTACAGTTGGGGCCGTGAGAAAGCCCGCCGAGTGCCGGGTTCGAATCTAGGATGGCCAGCGAGCCCGCCAATCATTTTAGGGCAGTGTTTCTCAACCTTGGCAACTTGAAGATGTCTGGATTTCAACTCCCAGAATTCCCCAGCCAGCGAATGCTGGCTGGGGAATTCTGGGAGTTGAAGTCCAGACATCTTCAAGTTGCCAAGGTTGAGAANATGTGCGGGTGACATGCGGGAAACAGATGGCGGGAAGGCAGCCTGGCACTTGGGACTCGCTAAAACACTTCTTTGCACAAACCTGCGACTCTGCACTTTCTCTGTGTGTGTGTGTGTGTGTGCAAGAACCTGGCAGGGAGAGATGACTTGCTAGCTGCTGCCATGAGGACTAGAAACCCGTCTGGGTCTGGGTTTTGTTTGCAAGTGAAAAATCCACCTTAAAATCCGTCTTTGGGGATGGCGGGATTGGTCTGCCCTTCGCTTTCGGGAAAAATCTTGGTCCTTTCCTGCACAAGATGAGTGTGCCTCCCCCCCCCCTCTCCCGTGGGCATCCGTGGCCAAAGCGGGTGTCTCCTTTCCTGCTATTTACGGCGCCTGGCGGCGTCGCCTGCCCTCCCAGGCCTCCTCCAGGATACTACGAATCCTCTCCGACTTCCTTCCCGGCATCGGATGCCGTCCTTTTCCCACCCGTTAGCAAACGGGCCTCCTTGGCTTTCACGACAGCCTTGCGAGGTAGGCCCCGTCTTAGTTCCCACGCCTCCGTTCTTGCCACGTTCCCACGCTTACTAGGATTTCCTAGTGGTCTCCTTCCCAACTCCAGGGAGTCCTAATGGAGCCCAAAATCTACGTCGCTGAGTGAGACAGTTGGCGAAGTGAGTTTTGCTCCGTGTCGCAACCTGCCCTGCGCCACAGTGGTTAAGTGCCGTCGTTAAGTGAGTCGCGTGTTCATTAAGTGAACCTGGCTTCCTCATTGACTTGGCTTCTCAGAACCTGGCTTATTATAGTAAACCCCTCCCCCCCAAAAACCCACCCTGGTTTCTGACCATCTAGAACGCTTCTGTCTCCATCACCCTCCTTCTCCTTCAGCAAGTGCTTGCCAACTTATCTGCCCCACGGGGCTCCTGGGCATTGAGTGGAGACACACACACACACACCCAGACCAGGGACAGGTTGAGCCACTTCCATCCAGTTGGCGAGGGCAGAGACCTAGCTGCGGGAGGAACCAGGCGCCCCCACCGGATTTCTCCTGGCACACCTGCACCCCAGTTCATCTCACCCGCTGATGCCCAAAGGAGCCTGCAGACGTCAAGAGTGCCCTTCGCTTCCTCCTCTATGACGCCAGTGCCCCTCCTGCTCACCCCCCACCCCCAGAAGGGAGGCTGGATAATTACACAGGGGGGGGGATAAATCTTTGCAAGGGGGGGGGAGAGGGAATTCCCCTTGGAAAACCTGGGAGGTTTTTCTTTTGAAGCTTTCTCATAGCCAGTTAAGTTTTGGACTAACGTTTGAACCCCTTTCAAATTCATTCAGAAATATTCCTTTTTAGACTGTCATATCATACGCCTATTTTAAGAGAACTGTGTTTCTCACTACCTTTTTAAGGCCAAGTACAGGGGGGGGGCAGGTCTCTCTCTGAAGGCACCTGAAATTTGCTAAACGGCTGGTACCGTCAAATTCTTCTTTGAGGGAGAATTACAACATTATCCAGTAAGCACCAGAGTTTTACGATTGTTGTTCTTTTTTGCTAAGGCTTGTGGTTCAGTCTAAGCAGAAATCACCTATTATTCTTGTACTTCCACTTTCTGGATTATCTCAC